TCTCTCTCTCTCTCTCTCTCTCTCTCTCTCTCTCTCTCTCTCTCTCTCTCACCTGATTCACTGAGGGCAGGTATCCACAAAGCCTGGCATAGTTGGCATGTAATATATAATATGACATATTATTAATAAATGTTTGTTAGAGGAAGAATAAAGGAACCGATTGGCAACATAAATAAGCACATATGAAAAGTAGACTTGGTGATACCAGCAAGAAGTTAAAAGTTAGAATAAGATTTGGGTTTTTTTTTTTTTTTTTTCCGGTACCAGGAATCAAACTCATGACCTTGCGCTTGCCAGGCAGGTGCTGTGCCGCTGAGCTAAATCCCCAACCCCTAGAATAAGATTTGGAAGGAAGGCTTATTGCCCATCTTGCTGACAAAACAGAAGAATTGGAGTTAAAAGATCATTGACTCCATATACATATGATGTTCCCACAGTGGAGTGCTAAAAAGAGATTTATCATTTTCATAGCTTGTGCTTTCTTTTTTGTTTACTCATGTTTGAAAGAAGCTATAACTAGACTTTGGCAAATGGTGAATCCAGCAGTACATTATGGATAGTGAACATATAAAGAATAAACAGTGCCACTTTTTCTCAATTTGATACATGAAATGCTATAGAGTTTACGTTTAGATACTGAAGCATTATTGTATGGAAATGAGATTGGGTTTTCTGTGTGACACTTCCCCTCTCCACCCAGTAAATGATAACTAGGTACAGTGGATGGAAGTTATGAAGGGAGAAAACTTAATGGGACATCAGACAGAATTCACTAGTGGCAGAGCTGTCCAAAGAATGAATGAGCTGCTTCATCAGCCAGTGAGTAGTTCAATAGCCAAACGTTCGGGGAGGCTGCTCTTTCACATGTGATGGCCGTAGGAGGTATTGTCCTAGTTGATCTCTAACATCTCTTCTGTCTTAAAATTTGACTTGTTAGCAAAGTAATTATTTTCATTCTTTTCATACAGAGAGCACCCTAAGAGTGAATGCAAGCCATCAATACCAAGAGATCTCCATCAACTCCAACACAGTTATAGAATGTAATGTCTCATCCCAGCACGCTAGAAACCTCCAGTTAGCCATTACTTGGTATTTCTCTCCCATTTCCAGTAGTACATCTTGGCTGAAGATCTTGGAAATGGACCAGACCAATGTTGTAAAATATGGGGATGAATTTCACACCCCACGGAGAAAACAAAAATTTCACTCTGCGAAAATTTCCCAAAACTTGTTTCAGCTGCACATTCTGAGTGTGGAAGACAGCGATCAGGGCACGTATTACTGTGCTGTGGAGGAATGGCTTCTGTTTACAAATGGCACGTGGCAGAGGCTTGGAGCGGAGAAGTCAGGACTGACAGAATTGAAACTCAAGCCCACAGGTAAAATTTGTGAGTGTATTAGCACATATCTTTCTGTAGAATATCCACCTTCTCTTGAACAGCTTCTATAGAGTGTTTGTGTGGAAGTAAAAATATGTTCTGGAGTTACAGGAATACTGTCCACCTCTCCATAAAGGCAGACCTGGCAGCCCACCAGGAGGTGGGGGTCATCTGAGGTGAATTAATTGGGTGTTTTGAGGAACTCAAATAGGAACAAGATCCTTTGCATAGATTTGCTTATCAGCCTGGCCGCCTGGTCTGTGCAGCTATCCAGGGTATCGTATCTCCAGATCTCTATAATAACAAGCTGTGTCACTCCAGTGGGGCTCTACTATAATTTGGCAGAGAAAGAGTAATACGAAGCATATTTCTCCCACTGTGAAGAGAAACTGTACAACTCTATGGGGATGTGTGGAGAAATTGCTTTCCAACATTTGGCTGCCTAAACATAAGGCAAATAAGAGTAGTTAGCTGTTGGAATGGCTTACTGAGGGAATCTCCTCTTCCTCAGGAGATCTTTAAAAATGTAATGGAAGTTCCATCCCTCTGCACTGCCCTATGAGTGCTGCTGTCTAAATGTGGACAGGCTTGGTTAGTTCTCTCAGCACTGGTTAGGTCACCTCCACTGTTGATTAAAATTAAATGAACGTCACTGCTAGGGCTTGGGAACTGGATAAGATCCAATAGCACAATGCAAATAAGTTGATCTATTTTGGCACTTACATTACTATTTTCAAGGTAATGTCAAAAAGTAAGTTTATAATCCAATACTACTATGTGAAGTGATAGGAATGCAAAGGTAAATGAGGCAGAGCTCTTGCCTTTAAGGCGCTCACAGTCTGTGGAAGCAGCAGGGGCAGAACAATAGCTGAATATGAGGAGCTCTTCCTGCTGTTCTGGCGCCCCTTTTTCTTCTTGGGGCCCTCTTCCTGTTGCTGCCAGACATGAGTGTTCCTTGGGGATCCATCCTGGGCCCTTCTGCTCCTTATGCTCTGCTTTCCTCAGACCATCTTAAACATTTCCCCAGTTTTAATACTACCTTTGAGATGACAACTCTGGGTCTTTGTGCTTAGCCCTCATCTCTTGTGCTCCAGGCCTTTATACCTAACTGCCAGCTGCAAATGTGTATGTGGATGCCCCAGAGACCCTCATTCGGAGCCTGCCTTGGTTGCATTTATCATCTCTGCTAACCCACAAGCCTCTTTTATAATACCTCTGGCCTCTGCATCTGTGCATCTGCCATTCCTATCTTACCGTTGTCCCAGCCAAAATCTGGACAGTGTGTACGTGTCCCTTTTTAGAAGGCAGGGATTA